GAAACAAGGGGACCATTATACGAGGTTCTTTCGTATTCAGTGAAAGAAAGTAACTTTTATGATGTTTGACATAAAAATATTTAATAATTTATATCTGGAAGTGCATTTCAATGTTTTGTCTTTCTTGAAAGCGACTGATATTAATATTAGACACTTTTATTACAAAAGTTCGAATAGTTTTCGACTTTATTATAGCAAAGTTCTCTTCCAATTTTAATTCTTGGAATTATTTATAATGCTTCCAGTAAACGGTTTCATTCAACTCGAGGATTTGTCATCGATTTCGCATTTGAATGTACTACCTACCCCAAAGGTTCATAAATTACGAAGTTAAGTAAGTGGGTATATCTAATAAGAGATTTAATTAAGAATGAGTTTCCAGGGCTTTAATTTTGAAAGCTATGTTGGAATTTGAGCATAATAGGCCTCCACTTTCATTAATGCTAAATGGAATGATAATTTTCGGAAAATCACAAAAATTTCGTAAATGACAACATGAAATACTACAATTGAAAAATATATGACATGTAAATTAAAAAATAGAATTCTTTTCGGCGTTTTCACAGTGTAAGCTTAAATATTTGATAAACATAGCATTCATACTGATAGGTTTTTGTTTAAAAATGGCTACTACCTTTCCTAGAATATATATTGCGATATTAAAAAAATGCAACAACAGAAAATCAACGATATTTGGTCTAATTTCGAAACTTTTCACAGAACTGAACCCTTCGTTCAAATTTATGTACCAAAATGCTTCGTAATTGAAAATATTAATAATAAAAATAATAAATAATACGGCGTGCAACGAAAAAATGCCTACTAAACGATTTAAAAACAAGTGAATGTAAACAGCATGGTATTGCAAAAATTGGTGGCTACGAGGTATTGGTATACGAGAAGGTCCAGTAAGCGGTAAGTTTTAGGTGTAGCTTTAGAGGGTTATCTTCAATATCATTATCTACTACAACTATTTCATTCATCCAACATTAATTCATCTCAAAACTATCATCGTCAGTAGTTATAATTATGGTTTGTAAAGTATTTAAAAGCTTAAATTTTTCATTCTATTTAACTGCTTTTTGAAGAAATAAAGAGAAAATTATTCCAAACACAATAAACTAAAGCTCAAAGAAATCTACTCAGAAGAAATTAACTTTCGAATGATATAATCCATTGTTATGTACTTTCCAAGTTCTATCCCTGTGCATTTTGTCCTCCACTTTTTAATGCCTAATTATGTGCCTCAAATATATTTAAAAAACAAAACCAAGAGCCCCAAAATACTTAACACAAGCACACACAATACAAATCAATAAAAGAAACTGACCTTGAAATGTACGAAAATTGTAAATAATCTATTGGACTACATTAATAATTTTTTAACTTTGATGGTACACAAGGCAAATATCGAACACAGTAATTAATCAAATCTTGCCCAAGTACTTTCGATCACAATATCATCCTCAGGGGCATTTTGTCAGTTGTGGCCTATCCGGCTGATTCTGTCTCCGGCTTCTATATAAAATGTAGCTTCTCCAATTTTTAAATTTTAAAGTGTTTGTTTGTCTTTGTTTAGTGTATTTGTTATGTCCCAATTTACATTTATGACATTCTGTTACTGCTGGATAGGCCACAACTGACGAAATGCCCCTGAGGATGATCTTGTGATCGAATGTACTTGGGCAAGATTTGATTAATTACTGTGTTCGATATTTGCCTTGTGTACCATCAAAGTTCATTTATTCGAACATTCAACCTTATATTGAATAATTTTTTAGTCTTCAAACATTTTTTGTTTTTCTTCGACGTGAAGGTTTTTCCCTGAGCTGCTACCGTTGTATTATTAGCGTAAATAAATTGTTTGGCTTATTGGTTTGTAGACTGGAGAGTTACGTAGAAGCGTCTGTTCTGGAGAAGGCATTCCACCAACCTTGTGAGTCGGAAATGCTTGTAGTCTCGTAAAGTTTTACCAGCAGCTGTTCATAACTAACTCTGTGATAGGCAGCAGTTAGGTCTACGAATGCTACCCATTTTATTTGATTCTGTTCAAAACCATCTTCAATGTGTTGGGTGAGGTTAATGGTTTGACTGCAGCAGGACTTTCTGGGTCTAAACCCTGCTATAAAACTAGGTTTTGAGGATTTTTAATGTGCAGGTGCAGCAATTCATCATTTATACAAGGATTCTCGATGATTAGTGCAAAGTTCTTTCTTTGTTATGTTCGTTGTTGAATTGTCTTTCATTTGGTGGATCGTGTCTCTTATCTCCTCCAGACAAAAGTAGATATTTAGAACATCTCTTTTTTTGTCGATATTTCTTTGGACTCTCACCTTGTTTTTCCTTGATCTCGACCTACCCTTCGTCAGGAAACGGTTGGCTATCTGGTTCTATCAGGTTTTAGTTGTCGGTGTGGCGGGATCGTTGCCAAGATTTTGAATCAACGTCTAGACCCGTCTGTTGTTTTGTTTAATGTCCAGACTCATGGCCAGCTTGTACCACCTGTTCATTCTGTTGGCGGATATTGCATGTGGCACTTATTCTCCAGCCTTTATTGTTGCTTCCGAAAAAAGGTCATCCCTCATAAAACTTCTCATATCTTCCAAGTAGAAGTTTAGATTCTTCATTGAGCCTAGCTATGTATTCTGTTCTATCTAGTTCTAGTTCTATCTTTAGGAATATACTTCCGGGATATTTGTTTTATTCTTTGTTCAAACTGGTTTATTCAGGCCATGGTTCTAGGTGGAAACCTATTTGATCTAAGACGTTATAGAAGATCTCTAAGAAATTTTCCCATTTTTCTTTTTTGAAATTGAACCTTCTCTTGAAAGGAACAGTTTCGTATCTTATTGCCACGTTGGAAAGGAAAGGTATTAGTATGTGCTTTGTTTTTGGGATACTGTCGTTGGCAAACATAATTTCTGGGGTGTAACCTCGACACCATATTGTTCTACTACAAGACGCGGGCTGTTTCGAATCATGAATACGTTTTAGCTTCATTTCTTCTGTGCATTGTTTTAGTCCTTCGCCATTGGAGTCCGTCTCGTTATAACCCTATGCAGCAGTGTGGCAGTTGAAGTACGAATTTTATTGGCTGTGAGTGAAAGTTGTCCGCTTCCTCGAAGAATAAGTCAGTGTTTTACCGTTTGTAAATGGCGTTACTGTCCAGGAGTACTCCACTGTGTGAAAGTGGATGTGGTCTCGGTTGGTTAAAGATTCAGACTACATCGATATTTGGTCTGACAACGATTGCCTCAACATAAGTGATTAATGAGGGCTATATGCCTTATTATCATGAACTAAGAGGCGTCCGAATGACCCCTAATGGACTGTATTAATTTCACCAACGCTTGATTTTAATCACACCCCGTCCCGGGGTGGTAAGTTTGTCTAATCCTTTTTTAATATAGATTAGAATAAAAAGTTAAGTATAGTAAATACAGATTTTATTTCTGAATAAACACTAATACTAAAAGCATGGACCTTATATAAATATTAATTTAGCACAATTTTGTACCGAAATATAAAGTCAGTAAACACTATATACCATGACGAAATAGTTTAGAATTCAAATAAAATGTCAAAATGTTTTTATATCTACCAAGTCCTGTCCTGAGCAATGTTAAAACTGGAATCCTGGCTGTCCTTACAGGTCCTTCTTTGTTGTTGATCCGTAATGTGGTTGTAGCACTTATAAACACTTGGATTTATTCTTGCATGAATACGGCACTCTTAGCTAATTTTTACACTATTACAAATACTTCAAATTATAATGTATGGTACAGGTACGAGTTACCATAGATGAACTATTACTATTCTCCACGCTACTTGCGAATACTTTCCAACTACTTGCGAACATATTTCATCGATAAAAAAACCATGATTCTCATTTCGAGATGACTAGCAACATTTGTACAACCCTCAACGGTGAAAGGCACTTCTCGACTCTCAATCCGAATATTAGCGGAAACGACAACGTGTGTACGCCCCAAAAGTGGACAAGGTACTGGCTGTTTAAAATCGATCCGACCTCCTTCCGATGCATAATAATTCCCGTGAGCTGTGACGTAGTTTGTTTACGTTTAATTTCTAAGAACATGGCTTTCGAAAAATAGCCTCTGTTAATATTTAGGCAGATTCTCGGAACAATAAGCTTCAATCCTTGGGCTGCGGCATGCAGCACCTTGATGGGTGTTTTGAGCAGTAGGACATCGACACCATGGTATTTGCTCAAATTAGACAACAGACCTTTATCTGACGATAACTTTTGAACCATCGACTGTTGATAGAGCCGCTTTGACTAATTTTATCAAATACACTGACTTAACGGTTACATTCACGGGGCAAATATTCGAAAACCGTTTTACTGTAATTTCCTTTGTTTTGCTATGCATATTTTTGATATGTATATGCTGATATGCGAATTATTTAACGATAAGCATAAGGTCACACATTGACAGTCATATTTATAGACTTATTTAGTCAACAGTATTATTTTTCGTTTTGTAAAATGTGCAAAGAATTGTCTTAAATTGTAGTAAAAATATGCTTTTGTTGCTAGTCTTGACAAATGTAAATATGTGAACATGCTAATTATTTATAACAACTCAGGTTAGTGTTTTTTGATACTATTCAGATTGTTTCTTACTTACAAATTTTAGACGAACAGTATTACAGAGCTTTTCTATCGAACATCCATATACAATAAAAACTTTCATCTTATTTTTACAACCTCATTCTATCCGGATTTGAAAAAAAATCTTTTGACTGGCTGCAAACTGTCGAGTCTGTTTTTTTTCCGATGGCTACAAACGAGGACTGCTTAATCTGATTTTCCAAATAAACATTTCCAAAACTTCCTTACTACTACTCGGCTTATGTAAATCCGTGTAGCGTTTGTGTAAGCATCTTGTAAATAAATCAAGCGACCGAGGGTATACAGGGTTATTCTCTATTCATGAAATGTGGAGTACAGATCGTAACATTTTATGAGCTTGTTAATGGGTTTAAGGGGAGTGAACAAATTGGGAAATTGCTTAGGGTAGGTTTGTAGGTCATCTTTGTTATTTACCGTTATAAATATTACTTTTAAAAACATTAACAGTAATGTGCAAGCCTTTAAAGAAAGGATTCTACAAAAAGAGTAGAAAAGAAAAAGAGATAATCGTTTTTGGTTTTACATATATTATCATATATACCTACATAGTATAATATCAGGAACTTACGACTGCTTTGGATTATTGCTAAATAGTCGAAAGCCAATGGTGTGCACTGTATAGCATAAAAAGTTGTAACAATAAAACACTGAAAACTTTGTTTTCAAACTTCCACAAAATTTATTTTAAATAGTATCACTACAGCTGTTTCGGCTAATTGCCTTTCTCAAGTGATCTATTTTGGCTTGGGTTTACAAATTTATAGTCTCTAATGAAATAGGTTGAGGAGGGGAGAACTGTTTGTCTCAAGTTGGTCATTTAGAATTATATCTGTGTTTTTTAATTTGTTGATTTCCATAGATTTTAACAAAGATAGCTTAAGGCCTTTATTTTGAATGTGAAGAATTTTAAATTTTAATTTTTTAATTTTTAAATTTTAAAATGAATTTTAAATTTGTCATTAAAAGAATGATTATGATCTAGAAGGTGAAGTGCGTATGTCGAATCTGTTTTTCTATTATTGAAAGCCCTTTTATGTTCTGCTATTCGTTTATCAAAGTTTCTACCAGTTTGACCGATGTAAGTTTTTGGGCAGTCGCCACATTGAAGTTTGTACACACCACTATTTAAGTGTTTTTTATTTAAGCACAACATAAACAAGCCAACACAACATAAACTGGCAGCTTATCGTAGTATGTTACATAGATTAACAGAAATTCCGATGTCAAAATACAACTTTGAGACAGAATTAAATATAATTAAGCAGATAGCAATAAACAACGGATACAACGAACAAACAATTAATAAAATGTTAAATCAAAAACTACACAAGAAAGCCCTGAAATTAGTATTTCCACCACCAGAGAAAAAACTCAGTAAAACTTGCCAAACAACAAAAATTGCCAAACACATAAAAAAGAAAGGAATAACACCAGCTTTCCGAACAAATAACAACCTAGGCAAATATATTAAAAATAACAAGAGCCAAAATAAAAAAAACTTAATAGTGGTGTGTACAAACTTCAATGTGGCGACTGTCCAAAAACTTACATCGGTCAAACTGGTAGAAACTTTAATAAACGAATAGCAGAACATAAAAGGGCTTTCAAGAATAGAAAAACAGATTCGACATACGCACTTCACCTTCTAGATCATAATCATTCTGTTAATGACAAATTTAAAATTCTTCACATTCAAAATAAAGGCCTTAAGCTATCTTTGTTAGAATCTATGGAAATCAACAAATTAAAAAACACAGATATAATTCTGAATGACCAACTTGAGACAAACAGTTCTTCCCTCCTCAACCTATTTCATTAGAGACTATAAATTTGTAAACCCAAGCCAAAATAGATCACTTAAGAAAAGCAATTAGCCGAAACAGCTGTAGTGATAATATTTAAAATAAATTTTGTGGAAGTTTGAAAACAAAGTTTTCAGTGTTTTATTGTTACATAAAATGAATTTCCATCAAGTAACGGTCGAATCCATCAATTATTTGTATTAAAAGTTATCATCAGGTGGCGCTACGACATCCTGATACATGACATAATGTCATTTCGCACAAGAATGAAGTGTTTTTGAATTTTGTGGAAGTTTGAAAACAAAGTTTTCAGTGTTTTATTGTTACAAGAATAAAGTGGCCGTTTTCACTAATAATTTAAGGGCTTCCCTTGCCAGCTCTGGATATTCGTGTTTTCTTTTCATCCAAAATACATCGACCAGTATGCTATTAGCATCTACATCTAGAAGACATTCTTTCATTTTTGTGGTGATATGAGCCAGATCTATTGATTTGTCCAAACAAGTGTTTAAAATCCATCTACGCCCACTGTCAGCTGAAGAGTGCAAGTCTGGAAAGTACGTCAAAAGCTTTGTCTGTTGCTATTATCTTTAATAATTTTTTGAACACATTCGAACATTTGTTTTGCAGAGAGGTTGACCATAAACGAAGTTTTGCGTGAAATACTTTTACTTTATCTTCAACTGTTAAACTATTTTTTTCTCTTCCTTGAAGGTTTTTGTTAGATTCATATTCAGATTTTGTATCTTGTAAGAATATTAACAATTCAGCTGTCAGTTATAGAACTCTTATCAATACCTTTTCTTTGAATAACCACCTGACTTCAATCCTTATAAGGGATTCAAATTTGTAATCTATGTTTTAATTATTTTGATTTAGTAATCGATGGCACACGGTTTTGAATGCCTGTGTATATACTTGTATACGCCTAATTCATGTTATTTAATATACGAACTGCATTACACTCGAGTATGTATATTGGGAAGAGCACCCTATCAGTATCTGTTTTGCTTTCGCTGAAGATAAATACAAAGTTTATCATCGGTACATGTCTGTATACTGTTTCCTGTTAAAATATTTATATAGACGATGTACTCCACAAACAGAATCACCAGAAATTATCGCTCATAGCTATTTATTTCGACGCATTTGAACTTTACGATCCATTACGCTCGTCTTATTATACATTTGGATTAAATTTATATCGATTCGGTCCAGAACAATGCGGAATTTCACATTAATTTGTGCACTGTAGAGAAATGTTATCTCAATCTTTTTAATGGGTATTGATTTTTAATTACATCTTTCTTTTTTTTTGTTTTGGGCTGCTACCATCGAGCAAAAAGACAATAGAGGGAATGTAAAGGTACTGGGGGCAAACATATTGTTAGACAGGAAGTGCGATCTTTAGAGGCCACTTTAAACAAGGAAAGATAGTCTCTCTCCTTGTTTGACATCAAATTTAGTTGGGTTATGTTATTGTTTATCCCAAATGTCACATGAAATCTTATTTATATTGAAGTTTTTTAACAATTTTGTCGCATTTTAGACTCTTATCATTAATAATTAATTAAAACTTTCTATTCTAAGACACATTTTGAAAAATATTATATAGCTACTGCTGATAAGTGTCGGAAAATTTAAATTTCGCGCATTCGTATTTCCGGATATGTCCGCCATCAGAGGCCACTTTTTTGGTCTCCTTTTCATAAGGATTAGATTCCCTCTTTTGTCTTATTGCTCGATGGCTGCTACCCTCTACATAGAATGTCAACTGTTTCATATATTAGATAGATTCAATGATTCAATAAAAAATATTTGATATAATATAATTTAGTATGTTAAAAATTATAAAAAATATATATTGCCTGAGTATATATCCAAGAGTTGCCTGATATAATTTTGTCCTGACTATCATCATCAGTTGGCGCTACAGCCCTTCGTGAGCCTTGGCCTGCTTCAAAACATTCTTCCATCCTTCCCTATCGAGTGTCCGTCTTCTCCAGCTCCTCACTTCAATCTTCCTCAGATCTTCCTGTACGTCGTCCAGATATCTGAGTTTAGGTCGCCCCCTTCTTTTTTTTCCTACCGGCCTGTTTAGCATAGTTATTTTAGTGGGATCACTCTCATCCATCTGCATAACGTGGCCCACCCACCTTAGGCGGTTTATTTCGATGGTCTTCACATCTGCATCACCAAAAAGTCTATAGAGTTCAAAGTTATATCGCCTTCTTCACAGACCCTGTTCGTTTACTACGCCATATATGGTCCTCAATACTTTTCTTTACTTTATTAATTAATTATAGTCCTGACTATAATTAATTAACAATTAAAAAATGACTATTTTTTTATAAATTCTACTTGTGAGTTTAACAAAAAAATTTAACACTAACGGTAAGAACAAAAATGAGTACTCAACCACAATATGATGACAAAAATAATACCAACTGCTAAAGAAAAAATATTGGATTAACTAATAAAGATAATACTTCTGAAGGGATTAGAAGAAACCATAAAGGTTGGACTGTATATTTGCGCTAGTTATGAACTTCTTGTTGAAATAAACTTGAATAAATTAATTAAAACTTGGACAGAATGAAAAAAACGTGTTTGTCAACTTAAAAGGAACAATTTATTCTGACATTGACAATGTGCCAATTTTGCACTAGTTGGCGTGTAATTTGAAGTCCAAACAACTTCATCACACTCTGATTCTTTTTCTTCCTTCTTTTCTTCTTCATTATTAGCCTCCTAAATTGTATAAATTATTGATCCATCTTTTTCTTGGTCTGCCAATACGTCTTTGTCCATTTTGTGACTTATCTCGTTCTATTCGTACTATCATAATATCCTCTGTCATTCTACTAATTTGATCGTTCCACTCCTGTTTCCGTTTTGTCACCCATTTATTTATGTTTTCTATGCTGCATGTTCTTCTTATGTTTTCGCTTATCTCCCTATCTCTTTTAGATGTGTCAGGTCTTATCTCCGCCGTTTATGTTAATATAGACCTAATTGTTGCTTTATAGATTCTTGTTTTTGTGTCTTGTCTTAGGTGTTTGTTCTTCCAGATTGTGTCATTAAGAGATCCCGCTGCTTTACTTGCTTTTAAGTTTTGTTGTCATACTTCATGGATGACAGAAGAAATTCTAAACATGATGGACGAAAGAAGAAAATACAGAGGTAAAAATGAAACAACATACAAGCAAATACACAAGAATATCAGAATAAAGATCCAACAAGCCAAAGAAACCTGGCTAAGTGAAAGATGCCAAGAAATTGAACAGTTGGAACAAAGACATGATACTTTCAATCTACATAAAAAAGTAAAAGAAGCCGCTGGAATATTTAAACAAACTCCTACGTCTTTCATCGAAGATAAACATGGGAACCCGCTACTGAACATAGAAGATCAAATAGGTAGATGGAGAGAATACGTGGAAGAGATGTTTCAAGACCGAGAGAGGACGAACATTTACATGCAGGAGGCATCGACTGGACCTTATATCACAAAGCAAGAAATTATCAAAGCGGCAAATCAGTTAAAGAACGGAAAAGCTGTTGGGGAAGATAATATCACAA